TGAAATATGTGTCGTCATTTTAACGTATATTATTATTTTACTTTACAAGTCACGTATCGCATTTAAAATCTGGAACTGAAATAAACCATCGTGGATTACATGGGGGTTTCTTTGGGGCATCGGGCATAGGTGACAATGAAAATCCTGGGCCCCCATGAAACCTAATCTCGTCCTAAAGATGTTGTTTGTTATTAATTTCCGCCCGGCATTTGATACTTGATAATGTTTGTATTGCAGTTAAACATTTCCCGTAATGCTGGGGTCGGCAAACCAAACTAACAAGAGAAGACATTGTTTTCTTTGGTAAAAAAAAAATTACCTTCATATTTCAAGAGCCGCAAAGCGGTCCTTAAAAGAGCCACACGCGGCTCCGGAGCCGCAGGTTTCCGACCCCAGCCGTAACAGGAAGGCTGTGACCATGTCAGTCTGTCTGCTTATGTCGGGTATAGGACTATACATTATATGGACATCAATGCTGCTGCAGAACGCTTCGATAGCCCACCTGAGAATAGTGTCCGATCCTTCAGATGACACACAACGCTACCGTTGGTGCCTTACAATTTATTGTCACCGTTCTTTGTGTACGACTGCTGTAGTTTATCATGCTCCTGGGGTTGACAAGGTGTATATAAAAAAATGGTACGCGTTTTGAAAAGGGTGTGTTATTACACCTTGTGGAGCGGTGGCGCAGCGGTTAGCGTGCTGCGCTACGACCCCGACGACCAGAGTTCGATTCCCACTCACAGCCAGTCATGGACCACCCCTAGGTCGACTCAGCCTCAAAGGCGGTCGGGTGTGGTGCTGGCCACCGTGCAGGCCTTCATAGGTGTTCGCTAACAGCACTTGGCTCAGCAGTCTGTTAAGGTTTTGACTTAAAACTTTCGTGACTGCAGGAATTCATATTCTTGGTTCTTTCGGTAAAGTCACTTAGATAGAAAATAGTATGTTAAGGCCATATTGGGGAAAGGGTCTTTGTATTTTTGTCTTTGCTGCCTGTACCACGAACACAGGGGCGTACTCACACACACACAAAAAACTCAACCACGTTCGTTAACAACGCTCTGGCCTATAAAGGCAAAAGATACTCCACAATATTACAGGACATGCCTTGAATGGGCTCTTTCATGTCCCCAACCATTCATGTTAGTATAAAGACATAAACAGGGTGGCTACATGTGTGGCACTGTCACTACTAAATTCCCGACTGAAGGTCCCTGTGACTCGATCAGATGTTGTGAGTTCGCTGATCCCACCAACACAAAGAGGTTGTATGAATTGAAAAAGTAATGTAAGAGTTTCACGTTGCATTGGTTTTATTTTACAGGCATTATTTTCTTATTCTCTTTTTATGGACTTCAAGTTTCTGTTATGCATTCTTTGTACTGTAATGCCTAGACGTACGTCATATATATGTATATTATTTAAAGAAAGGGGCTATCCATTTAGTACGTACGCATAGGACAGGGGGGGGGGTGAAGCCGTTCTATAGGATTCGGGGGGGGGGGGGGATTGACCCCTCCCTGTACGCGTGTGTACAGGGAGGGGGGGGTCAAGTTGACAGATTTTTGCGTCCGTACTAAATGGATGGCGCCAAAGGCTGTTGAACGCAGCGGATCGATAGTAATAAAGTAAACCAAATCCACGTTTGATGGAGTGTATTTGACCACGGATGATTATATTCAGGAGCAAACAAAAACATTAACAACTCATCCACACACACGTCGGACACTACCAATAACCATACAATCTCTGACGACAAATGGTCGTGGCTTTGAGCAGGTAATTTGCAATGTTTGGAAACTCTAATTTCCAGACACATTGGTATGTTTCTAGATTTGAAACTTTCGTGACTGCAAGGATTCATATTCTTAGGTTTTTTCGGTAAAGTCACGTAGGTAAAACATTAAAATTAATAAAAGTAAAATAAAATAAAAATCACGACGTTTCGGAGGCAACACAAGCTTCCGTCTTCAGGTGGAACCGTCACAGCCACGACGGCTGTATCAAGTAAAAGTATGTTGTTTTACATATTTTTTATTCCGTTTTCAAATGTGCTCTATCCTGATCTCGTCCGCATGATTTACCTTAAATAATTGCTCTACGTTTGCATATTCTCTTGTTTTGATCAACTCATATGCCTAAATGAAAAAAAAAATTGTTCAGCAAACTTGTCGATTATTTTTTATTTGCTCATATTTATCTTGAGACAAACTTTTAAACCTTTGCATTCCTAAATGTTTTTGTAGTTATTATTTGTTGTTATACAGTACTGGCTCTGGTCTCCATTCATGTTAAGGTATAACGTCTCAAAATCTGGTGTTTGGTAAAATATCTCAAAATATTGCTCAGAAGAGCCTTGGTGCGCCTCGCCAAGCAGCCGAAGTCTCATTCCAAAGTGGCAGCAAAACGTCGCTTGTTCAACGGAATTGTGCAACAAAGCAAGTTTCTGATGACGGAAATAGTTGAGCCAGCTAAACTTTAGAGGAGGGTATCTGTAACAGATCGCTGATATGTCTCGTTCAAGTTTTCCAAATTTAGAAGTGCAGGTAAACGCTGGAAGACCTTCGCAGAATGGCACCGTCATGAACTACAGTTACGTCGCATATCCGACCGTCGTCCAGCCTCACCAATTAAGCGCCCACGCCTTGTCCAGAATTTGTCCACGACGGTATGAACTATCACTTTCTATAGATGTTCACAAATCCGACCTGTTCGCATTCGGTAACACATTCTTAGCAGCACGCACATTCACTTCCAAAAAACAGTGAAGCATGTCCCTCTGTTTAAAGCACTTTCCACTCGAAGTGTGTCCATTAGCCTATTTGAGTAAAGAGTAACTAAATCCTCTATGTGTTCAAACATCCAACTTTTTACATATCTCAGTACCTAGCCAGTTAGATATGCGACTTTATGCCGTATATTAATTTAGCATAGATCAGTAAACTGAAAATTACACCTGCCTACACACGTAACATGTCCACGCAATAGTGAAGTTTTCTCTTCTTGTTCTGGCCCTGAGGTAGTGATACAGGAAGCCACCTTGTGGGCCAGACGCAGGTAAGGAATGTTCACTCGTGAAGCATAGCAGTAAATCGATGCATTACAATGTCCTAAAACTTAAAATAGCAGAATACACTCCAACAGTATACAAACATAAACAATTTAATGCATATATTTTGTGAAACACAAGCTAAAACATGATTATCTGTAGAGGCCTCATGTCAGTTTTTTTTTTATCAAAGCAATATTGCATGTTAGTTACATTGAAGTGTAATACTTAAAAGGATGCTTCCCGTGATTTCAGAATATAGTTTGAGGTGGTGAAAATGCACAATGACCACCTTGATTTATGAAATAGTCTGAACGATTTCTTCGCAAAAGAAATATAAATCAAGTTAAATATTGTTTTGTAAACATGTTATATATATTATTTAAACATGCTGCATGACGAGTTAAGTTCTGCTGCATAAAAACACATTATTATTTTGTTAGCATTAAAATCACATTATTCTAAGTTTGATAATTATTGAAATGAATTATTGCTGCCAATGTATGAACTCATCTTTTTCTACCCTGCATAAAGAAATCTAAACGGCTCTTTAAAATATACGACATTTACCCAATAACAATCATTTCCATGCCGACTGTATTCTCCAGATTATGAGGCACACTTTACCTCCGTATTGTTAAGCAATAGTTGTGGTGTATCTTCCCATTTGGTAGGCGTGCGTGCATGCGTGTCCGTGTGTAACAAGACTTCTTGTGCAACTTTATTGACAACGGGCACCGGTTTTCGGTGCACCTTCCTTTCTGGAGCGACTTAAATTCCGGAGAACACGGCAATACTCAACTGGAGGTATGCAACGTTCACACGACATATTATACTGCATGTGTTAATGAGACCAACTGTTATTTCTTCATGAAGCTATTCAGTAAAGGAAAACAGGTCTGGAACTACTAACGTGAAATGTTCACTTTTTTCACACTACAGAAATGTGTTAACCATTTCACACTACGGGCCAAAATATATCGTCATTATTGTACATTATAACGTCTCGAAACATTCAATAGTTTACAGGATTGTAAAGTAGATTACTGTATCAAGAATTGAGATACTTGTGGTGGTGAGACACTGCACATCTCTGTGGCCACACACCTGCTAGAGGCAGTCTCGAACATTATTCTTCAGCCAAACTCTATCAGCATTAATCACTGGCACGTTCTGGGATGACTGCACTTGCAATCTGGATGTTGATGTAAATTTTTGGCTCAGTATTGGATGAAAAAAATGCCTCCACTAGAGGGAGGTCAAGACAGCCCCTCCAGAGTGTAATTTGGCCTACTCTTCCACCCTGACCAGACGTCTTTGGAAGAGAAGGGAGTACCCATACTTCACCCCACAACACACGGACCTTCCGATCAACTAATTTACCAACCTAAAATGTAACATTGTTTAAACTTTAAATATTTTGCGTTAGCAGCAGTCGTTAGATTACAAGAATGCAGAGGCAAAATATTACTGAATGACTGAATGATTTTATGGAGTGCATTTTGCGATTGGCGATCACAAAAGCGATGGAAACGCCACAATTTCCTGTACGATGGTAAGTTACAGGAGGACCAGTTGCGTGCCACTAACGGCCGTCCAGCATCATCTCTGCTGCATCAATGCGGAAACTGGCAATCGTGGGCGGCACATTGAGGAGGTACAATTCGAGGCCATATTTCAAATCAAACTTGAGCCACTGTGGTGGCGGCCGTGGACGAGCATAGAACTAAAACAACCTCGTCACCTATGGGGACCTTTTTGGCAGTATCAAAAATAATGAAAAATAAAAAGTTTTACCCTCTTAGATGTTGAAAAATGAAGGCTGTCTCTAATGCAGGCCAATCAATTTTAAAAACAATGCGTATACTATCAGATGTTTGTCTGCATGTTTTTCCACAAGTATCGGTGGTTAATGCAGACTTGATGCCTGTTTATTGCCAGAGCGTCAAAACCTTTTCTTATTTTCATCAACCGTATCACCATTCACAATAGAGGTTTTGTTGGGTTATATTGCGTAAATATATAAATGTGTCATTAAACCCGCCACCACCCGACACAGCCAACTAGTAAGGGTTGTCACAAGCAGAACGTGGCCAATTCGTCACTAGTACAGCAACACCGGTGCGTTGGAGAGCCAAGCCACAACATTTACAATCTGAGTACAAGGTTTCGCCAGTAATAACAACCATACTTCATCAGACAACAGCCAGATTTGTGGAGAAGTCCACTTGTTTCGTTCCTTATATAGAGGCGTAGATGTGGTGACCACGCTTCTGCACTTTTGCGCAAAGTGTGGGGGGGATTAATGAGTCAACGTACATTATGCATGCGCATTATGCGAGCCCTTTGATCTTGTCCTTCCTGTCCATTGTGTATTAAAATAGCTGTACCAACGGTAATCCCTATGGAAGTATGGTGGCTTGTATCGGCGTGCATTTAAACAATGTATTCTTTGTATTCTTTGATGATTCGCTTCCACGCAGCACTAAGACGGGAGCTATCCAAACAGTTGCATTTTATTTATTTATTTCAATTTCGATACATTCTCTAATTAGTCTTGGCCAGTAGTAGCTGGTTTTGCACAGAACTTCAACATTATCCAAATAAATTGAGTGTCCTTGTTGGCACGCGTGTTCTGACAGTTGTATTTGGGAGTATTAAATATCTCTGATGTTCTTTTAGTCTCGTGCTGACCATTGTTCCTGTTTGCCCAACATAACATTTACCACAAGTGCAGTTAATCCTGTACACACCTTCTGTTGATGGCTCCGCTAATACATCTTTTGTACCAAATATTAATTTCTGTATTTCATGTACCGTGCCAAATCTGACGGTGTTAAACCTATCACCATTGATTTCAACACAGGCGAGTATCCAGGGTGTCCTTAAAATGTTCCATCCATGAGGTAATACATTACAATTAGACTATCAGTTTTGAGATCAAACTGTGAAACTCCACACCCACAAACTTGGGACTGTGGTATGAAGATTTGATCTCATGGGTAACATTGTTAAACCTACACATGTCCGTCGTGGCGTTTGGCAGCACATGTCCTAGGGTTTTGAGAGATTTCCAGGTGGTGATAGTCTTGAATGGTTGAACCATTCTGCACCGCTGAAGGTCACTTCAATGGTTTAAGGGAACATTTTGGCAAAATTTCAACCACGCCTTTCAAAATGCTGCCGAATTAGTTTGCATTAAAATGGATTATATATTTTCGTACACCCTATATAGTAGGCTAAGGTTTCAGGAAAGTATTTCTTTCAAAGGCACAATGACTTAAACATTATCCTGCTCCGTAATGTCTGGACAAAAGCACATTGCTTTTTGCAGCCTTTTGCATTGAATGGGATCCCATGTTTATATGGCGAGCTTTTGTCACGAGATCTTTTAATCTGACATCATATAGAAAATCTTAACTCCGCTGATGAGACCCGGAAGGTAATTGCTCGATACTATTTATCTGGAAAGTCAATAGGCTGTTGAACTAAAACTTATTTTTACTCTCATGCGGAGGCACAGAACAGAGTTCTGCTTATATCCGCTTTCACGTATTTCCCACGTCAGTGAGCTCTTAACGACGGCAATTCCGGACCGACCCCCGACACGAGTGCCGACGGCGGCGCCGGCGGCTTCCGCGCTAATCCTCTCCGTCGCTGCCCTCGTCGGGAACGTAGCCGGCGATTTGGCGCAAGCGCAGGGTGTCGTACTGGGGCGGCGGCGTGTTGGGCGTCGGAATGGGCTCGCGCGGGCACTGCATCGCCGTGTGGAAGGTGGGCGGGTCCTCCGCTGGGCTGCCACCCATGGGCAACTGAACGGGGAAGTGGACGGAGGGCGCGGGGTCGGGGCCGCGGACGAGGGACGCGAAGGTCCTGCGGCACGTCGCGAGCAGCTTCTTCAGCAGGATCCACGGGAAGTCGACGCAGAAGATCTCCAGCACCTCGACGACGCACAGCATAGAGCAGCTCAGCCAGAGCCCCAGAAGCCCTCCGAGGTTGGAGAGCAATGTCACGATCTAAAGACGGGGGCCACACAAGGGCTGTCTGCACACGGGTTCTCTCCACCTGCTATTGTTCCGGAGTTGTGGTTGTAGTTGTTGGCGCACCCAACGTTTTGGAGTGGGGGGGGGGGCTGAAGGGGATGCTTTTTTTTTTACCGAGAGTATCAAATTGGAAATAAACGTTTTCCAAATCATGAAATGTATCTAAAATGACAATCATTTTTTGTTACAATTTGCATTAATAAAAAGTCTCAAAAATGGTCAATGTCATAACAATGGCTATCCAACATGTGGATTGGCCTCTGGTTATAGCCAAATATTTTACAGCCACAGCTGCAGTATAGATGTTGCCCCATGAAATCAATTTGGATAGTTTATCGAACATTCAGGGCCATATACTTGAAGGGAGGGTTTAGGGGCCTATGCAAGGATAAACAAAAATATGAACGTACAAATACACAGGATTTTAAATTAAATAATTGCAGATGTTCAATAATTTGCGATGTAAGAATCTGCTATTCCCTGAAACTCACAGATTATTGGCGGTTTGCGACTGCTCCTCCCATTAATTCGTAGACTTCTGGTTCTCTCCCAGAAGCGGCAAATTCATCCAGTTGCCAGCTGCACCAACTTTGTAATCCGCGCATTTATTTGTGCTGAATTGTTTGGAAACACGCAACGTGGCTCCTCTCGAAAATCCACGGCACTTTGTTTTACAGATTATAGAGCCTCTGCGGTGCGCCACGGATTTACGGGGCCCACCAAATGCTTCACCCTGATATCAACGCCGATTCCTGGAGTTCTGCAGTTAATGGATTGGATCTCTATCCCACTTGAGGACGATTGCTTGTGTGGCGATCGAAACGTCGCGATCTATTATTTTTTCTACATATGTGACTTTACCGAAAGAACCAAAGAGTATGCATTAATGGGTTGGGTTCGGCTACCCGATGGGGTTCAGGGTTGTACCACGTGTCGCTCAGTGGCACACTGAGCAAAGCATCAGACGTCGTGCTGGATAGTGCGCACGGTACAACCCAGGAGACAAAAAAAATCGAAGAGCTACGCAGCACCACAAGTGCGGAAACCTATGCGGCAGTACCGATGTGTTCAGTCTCCATTTCATATTCTAGAAGTGGAATTCTTCGTGAAAGCACACAAGAGTTAGATGGTGTAAATACAAATGTGTCATTAACCCACCATGGCAAATTAGTAAGGTTTGTCACGTAGACAAAACATGCCAATTAATTACTAGTTCAGCACACCGGTGTGTTGGAGAGTAAACCCACAACATTTACAATAATCTTCCAACACACTGGCTGTGTTGGTGGTGGTGGGTTACCAACACATTTATATTTACGCGATCTAACCCAACAAAACAAAACTTTGTTACGAATAATATCGATCACGAAAGCCGACTGCTACGTGTTAAACAACACACGCAAGACGTACGCTGCTCGCCGGAGATTCTGAAATGGTCTTCTGGTTGAGATCTTTGAAGTAAATGTTGACAATGGCAATGTCGCTCCTGAGAAATGCAAACGTGGGATATTAAAAGAAATGACAGTGATGTTAAGCCCCTTATAGTAATTGAAGCAAAATCATTTGGTGTCACGTCAATGGCCTTGGATGGAGATGCGAATGAAACATTTCTCTCGTTGGCACCTCTGGCTAAATACTCACGGCTTCAGTGTGTCGTTGGCCGGCAGTCCTCGCTCTTCAGAAAGCGCACGCAACAGCCACCCCTAGAGGCACAGCAAATGTCAAGTATTTTGTCTTCCATGCTCGTGACAAATGCTATCAATGTGGGAAACCCACGTGTTATACTCGACGTGAGCTAGCAACCGCTGCGGGACACCTAAATGTATTTTAAATACGTTTTACTCACATACTGTGGTGTCAAACTTGGAGGGTCAATTATTAAAAAATCAAACACTCGACCTGCAGTACTGCCCATGATATACCATTAGAGTACTGTACATAATTGAGTACTGGGTATTTGTGAAGCTGTGCACTTGTTCAACTATTCCACCTGGACAATCCATTGAGGTTGGAACATCTCGTTGCAAAGGTGTCCACGTTTTAGCGACGGGTGTTTACGGAGGATTAAGCGCGCAATTGTACGTGCGTGCAATTCTCTCATTCGTACGGCTGCTGATGTAGATGCAGAGCAACTACACTTTCACATTCAGGTGGTCAAGCCAGACAACCGCGTCAGCAGCAGCGGAGCGTATCACCGTGATGTCGCCTTCGTATTTGTGGATCGGGGCATTGCGTCGTTATACGTTGAACGGTCTGGTTGCCGATGACCACAGTCGCACACTCCTGGAGTTTTGATTTATTTTCCATTTGTGCATCGGATATCCGCATCTGCTGCCATGGTTTGTGTGGTGGATGCGATTTAGGGGTGGACCATGCACGTGCGTGCAATTAATTGGCCAAACTAATCGCCATTGGTTCACTGACACCTCAGACTAGATGCGGACGTAAGCCTATCCCGACAGCGACAGAAAAGGTTAGGCCAAGCAGACATGATATTTGTGCTCTTACCTTAGATGCTTTGGACGGCCAGTCAGCTAGGCTCAAAGTTACCTCGTGCTCCGTCTCCCTGTACGACAATACAAACAGATCATGCAAATATCCCAGGTCATACGACCAGAGGTTGAACTCAAACGACATCCCTTTAGTCCATAGAGGATTTTTTGGGTTAGATCGCGTAAATATAGATGTGTAATTAACCCGCCACCACCCGACACAGCCAATTAGTACGGTTTGTCACGTAAACAAAACGTGGCCAATTCGTTACGAGTTCAGCACACCAGTTGTGTCATGGAGAGTAAACCCACAACATTTACAATTCGAGTACTGCGACGTTTCGCCAGTAATTACAACAACCAGCCTTTTTTAGGTTCGGCTGTGGTTTCCTTGCCTTCAAGCTGAACGTATTTGAATGCACCGCCTTAGTAGGTGGGGCATTGAAATGGCTCGTAATCGTGTGAGCCATAGCACTGCACGCTGTTGACACAAGGCAGCACGGTACAGGAGAACTCCTCCCATCCACGACCCAATTGCCCACAAATTCTATTGTGGGAGCTGTAGAGTCTGCAAAAAAAATCTCCTATTATCCACAGCACTATTCATTACATTATCCCATTTATCAGTGATTTATTTGTTTGTTTAAATACTTTTTTGTATTCGATTTTTGCTGTACACATGAACAAAGGCCCGCAGCAGAATGTTGGGTGACATAAAAAACAACCGCACGCCGAATAAATCCGCCAGGCCTGTGTACCCGACGTGTCCTGAAAGTCAAAGTGAAGAGGTGGTGGGTAATTTTTAAGTGGCGTAAATTTGTAGACAACTTCACAGACAACAGAACCGGCGATGTCCATCCTCCCGCATCACCGTGGGGACAGGCGGAGTTCAGTAGAAATGCGACCGAGACGTGTTTTTTTTTTTCTTTACACTCACGAGCAAATTTGTCGGCAGACTTGAATACACTTGAGCTCCTCTTTAATGTACATGTCGTACAGGCGGTAGTAACAGTACTCTGAAAAGGGGAAGGTGGAACAGAAAGCAGTAGAGCGTGAATCATTGTCGTCTCGGAGCACGAGAATACAAAAGGGGACCGGTTAATGTACAAAATTAACATTTGTCCAACTTCGCTTTTGAGTGGAGCCGCTCACCCCAGCCTGGGTGTTGTCGTAGTTGCAGAAGTGAGATCCTTCAGGCAGCGGTTGCTCGTAATTGGCACAGCCACAGCTTTTGATCATCTCCAACTGGAAGCACGAGTTCTGGCAGGTCTTTGGTAAAGTCACGTAGGTAGAAATAAAATAAATTAAATCACGACATTTCGGGCACAACACAAGCGTCCGTCATCAGGTGGGACAACCACAGCAAGAAACAATTGCTGAAGTGGGCAAAAGGGCTGCTGCAACAAGAGGTCATGCTCAATTTGCGTGAACCAAAAGCACGGTAGATGCTGAGGTTCTGCCGGCGCAAAGGGCAGTTCATGATGTGCAACACAGTTACGGTTGTCAAGGTACTCACTTGCACCGAGTATGGGCTGTCGTAGAGGCTTTTTACATCGATGTCACTTCCGTCCATTGTGCAGTCGCTGTAAGGCTCACCGAGTTTTTGGACATCGTTCTTTAAAAAATTAACAGAAACAACAACAAAAAGTGTCAGCTTCTCAAAGGGAGCTTAAATTGCTTCTCAGATGCGTTCCTTTGGTTATACTGCGCGTTGTTCAGCCTGATGCCCCTCCCCGCCCCCCACCAACACTTCGCTCCACTTCTTGGAGAATTCCTGCGGGAGCTCCCGGCACGTGGGGCAAAACGTCAGACATCGTACCAAGCCACAACAACAACACACGGCGCAACCCGAAAACACATCGGAGAGAAACATATAGAGCACAACCAGGATACCCGAACCCATTATACTGATCGTGATAATTTCGTCCGTGTTCACGAGTACCACTCGAAGTCCAGGGAAGACTCCGTGGCTGGGGGGATGTTGATCCCCACGGCCTCGATGAAGGGGGTTGTATTCTGCAGGTGGATGCCAATCTTGGCACCGGCCCCCATGGCCAGGTAGGGTAGGGCATTGTCCTGCCTCGTGTTAAGAATCATGTGCAGCCCTGAAAATTGCAAACGAACATTGACAGGTTTTAAAATGTAGATGATTTTCAAAATGTTATTTTTGTGCGCTAGAGGTGGGGGGAGGTGGGGCGGTGAGGGAATAAAGAAAATAGCATATCGAAAGATTTAAAGATTGCATCTGTGTTGGGTCGCGCAATGCAGCACCCACCATAGTCAATGCCGGCGGAGGCAATGTCCAAACTTTTCCCATCGCGTCCGTCATTGAAAGTGAAACAATTTCCCAAGATTGGATGTTGTAACTTCTTGAAGCTTGTGCTGAAAAAGGGCAAGGTCGCAGTTCAATTGAACAAATGATTAAATGTTTGCAACTGAAGCACCAATTGCCATCGAGTAGAACATACTACTAAAGAACCACTGTTAACGACTAATCGCTTAACGGCGAGCCTCCATAGATTCAATGCGTTTTTTTACCGATCATTAACCTGTTAACGACACGCTGTTGAAGGTACAGTAAATATGAATTATGCATTGATTAACTATGTTTCTTTTAATAGTATGTATTTATAAAGTTTTTTCTTCCCCCTTCCAATTATCGCATTGTTGCTTCACAATTCGGAAATACCTAAATACCATCGTGCAAAAAAAGTTATTTTACATATAACATAAACAAATAGCCCCCGATTCACCTGCCATGCGCAGTATACGTTGGCTGTGTGGCTGTTGGCGTGTGGCTCAACTGGGCGTCAAGGTGGCGAGATGTCAACTACCTCGCCTGGTATTCAGGAGGTCGTGGGTTTGATCCCGACCCTGACGCCTGCTGTATATTTGGAGTTTGCGTGTTCTCCACCTGTTCGCGTGGATTTTTCTCTCCGGGACCTCCATGTTTTTCTCGCCACATTTCGAATGAACACGCGTTTAGAGTATTTGGCTGCATGAAATTTCCATGTCATAAGCCTCTTAGTTGAGCTATCATTTGTGGCCAGGTCGCTTCTGAGAAAGAGCTTTATGGCTCAGTGGGCCTTACCTGGGTAAAATAATTAGTTTAAATAGTTAATAGTGCAATGTCAGCGCAGCGCTGGGGAGAGGCAGTGGCTTTACCTGGGATCGCAAACAGTTCCGCTGAAGAGGCAACCGATAATGAACTCATCGGCACTGTACCCAAGCTTGTCCTTATCCTTCTCGGGCACAATGGCCATGATGTTGATGAAATGCAGGCGGTACCACTGCATTACAGCATCAATGGCGGACGTGAAGGCATTGTAGATACATTTTTTTTCTTCCCCACACTGCACACACACACCACGCGCATACAGACACACACACGCACACACACGCGCGCAAATCGTCAGTGCATTACAGCTCTATCAACGTTTACTTTTGCATCAAACTGGAACTTGGAACATATGTTCACAGCCTTGGATGGAAATACAAAACACGCATAAGGGAAATCTATACAACGCATAAAAATTGAATGCGAATAACTGCAATCAACAGTGTTTGTAAAGAGCAAACTTACCACTTCAATAGCGATAAGAGGTTCGGACGACTGATAATTTTGGCTGAAGTACGACCTCATTTCCACCTCCCCCGGCACAACGTGGAATTTGCCGCTGATCACATCGGTGACCACGGTTTGATTGGTGACCGTGGTGTCCAGCCACACCAGCGGCATGGGCAGCGGCTCGTCGTCCGCTTCGCTGCGCTGAGGTTCGTCACCGCGATGCCGATGTTGTGCAGGGCCACGGCGGCGTTCCTGTCCAGCTTCTCCAGCAGAGCCTGGGACTGATTGTATCTGCACGCGCGCCAGTCGCAGGAGGCGTCATTAGATCGGGCGGAGACGAAGCGCCGTGCCCCGCTCTGAACTTTGGTACGCGTTGGCTGGGTAGGGATCGACGCCGCGGCTTCTAGGCTCAAGCGCAATACTTGTAGGCATTGCGATACATCCTGTAGGTGAAGTTGCTGCATGAAATCATTGATATCACAATGTGTATTCGAACAATTACGTGCCAAACCTGAAATAAATGTGATCATTTGAACTTTGAATTAGCTTTACATTTTATGAATCGCATTTTAAAACGAGATTTGAAATGACCAAGTTGAATGACATAGGGCGGGGGGGGGGGTATCGGATATGGGTGGGAGATAAAACAGTCAGGTAAGGAATTACATCAACAAAGAGGCCCCCCTCCTGCCCCCCAAAACTATAACGGCCCCAGCCCCCCACCAAACGTAATCCAGTCCTGCACAAAGATTGCCTCGCCTCAACAACAGAAACCTGCGTGTAAAACCTTGGCACCAAACGACATTGCTTAGATCATGGCACCTTTTTGTCAGTATCAACGCATGAAAAATAAGAACAGGTTTATCCTTTCTGGCAATGAAACAGGTGTTAAGATGTTCAAACACCAATAGAACCTTTTGCAAGGATTCAAATCTGCACCAGTTTCAAAGACATGACATATATCATTAGATCACGTTTGTTTGCATGTTCACCACGAGTACGTGTGGTTAATGCAGACTTAACATTCCTTGCAAAGGGTGTCTCGTTGGTGTTTTGAACATCATAACGCCTGTTTTATTGCCAGAAAGGGTTAAAACGTATTCTTATTTTTCATGTTATTGCTTAACTGTGTTGTTAATGTTTAAAATACTTTAGTGTTACCAGCTTAGCGCTTTAGAATTTTATTTAACTAATATTTTCGTAATGAAAAAAACACTCGAGATGAGTGTGTGAACCTCTTTTGACATTTCATTACTGTACTATATGTGGATATATATTTTTTTGACGTAGGCATTTTATGAACGCGGTATTTAACCAAAAAATATATTTAACACACCGTTAGTGATTACGGTGTTTGAATTTACCCGTACTAATTTGTCTTCCCATTACTTGCTATTAGATATTCCTTTAGTCCACATGTAACAATACTGAAAATGTACCGGTTACATCTGTAGCAGCAGCAGCACAGTTGATGTATGTGCTTGAAATCACACCGAAGAGCCAATGCGATTAACACGTGTTAGAAACACGTACCGGTTCTAGACAATGTTGTGTGTTCGGAAATGTAAGTGGGACTTTGGCAGCACGTCACTCGAGCGAACGGTGGCTGAGAATAACGACGAAGGAGCAGCCAAAGAAGGGAGCGAATCCGAGGGAACGTCCACAGTGGAGACGGATCAATTATCTTAACGATCGGTACATCAATTGAACGTGAGAGATGGCAACTTGGAAGGGTTGCTTATCCAGCAGTGGCTGATGGCGGTGTGTATTTATTATAGGCTACAAAACCTCTGCGTGGAAATGCAAAACGCACAACTGATTAAATCATCCAGAAAACCACTCACTTGTAGGGATTGAGGCTGCAGATGGTGATGGCTGGAAAGGGCATCTTCTGATAGTTGATCGTCACCGACACGGCGATGGAGTAGAAGCTCTGTATGAGTTGGATGCCCTGCCAGAACACCATCGCCACTGCGATGAGCGAGAACACGATCCAAATCGTCTTCTTGATGGGCCCTTTTGAGACTGCGATTCGGCGCATGCCGTGCATGTTGGTGTTGTTGAGGTAGAAGTCCAGCAGGTCGGTGATGGAGGGATCGGGGCCCTCGATCTTGAGGGTGTCCTTCACCCGATGGAGCACACGCTTGTTGGAGTCACCCTCGGAAGCCATCGCAGCGCAGCTGTGAGAAAGGAAACACGGAGGGGGGGCAACGCGGTCTGAAGCAAGGACGCGCGATTCATCGGGCGACGATCGACGATTGCCCCTTTCGACTTAATGTGCAAGCGCTGCAGCTGCAGCAGCAGCAGCTATTCTGGATGCCGAGGGCATTTACCTCGTGTAGTGAATGCAAGTGGTGTGCTCAGCTGTAAACAGGAGTGTCGTGTTGCTTCCTCACAGTGGGTGGGTTATCTGTTTTATTGGGGTGCATTCAACTTCTGAGAAATAAACGCAATCATTCGCTGCCATCCACTATTCGCTCTCTCTCTCTGCCTCAGTGTGCGCTGCATGACACACGACTGCGACTTACCACGAAGCCAGCAGGAAGAGGTGGGTTGCTGCTGGTGGGGAGGACGGACTGAAATGTAATTTCAGGAACAGGTTTATTCTGGTCACACAGCGCACATCCCCCTTCGAGGCTTCGACTCTTTGTGCGGAACATTTTCATTTGGTGCTTCAACGCCCCACGTAATCAATGCGCATAACAGTCCGAATTTAGCATTTGCCATGTTTATTTATTTTTTACTTTAAAATTGGAATCGTAGACCCCGTACTTATATTTGCATGTTAATAACATCAACTTCCCGGTTGAATTGTCAGCACCAAGTGCAAGATTTTAGAAGGTCCCAGCGTTGAATGAAAACAGCCAGAACTCGCCAGGTATGTGACTGAATAATACAACGAGCAGGGTTCTAATGTGTAATCATAACCAGTTGACAATGCCTTCTCTGTACGCACCACATATGCAATGCCCATACACATCACACGTGTGACTGCCTAGCAGCTGTTTTTTGGATAATATAATCACACTTTATAAATACAGCACAGTATAGCGCAATTCAATGCACTACAGCAGCTGCACAATCTACCTCGCCTGAGACTCCACTGTCATTGCAGACTCGGATTAAAGACAAAGGTAGCTACCCATAAGCCTACACTGCTTATAGCCCTAAACTCCAACTCCATCATCATAATTCCATAATCAGCAGTCGGCTCTTTAAGGCATGCTTCGTGACGTTATTTACCAAGGATCTACCGTCTCTCGTATTCACAGTGCATTGCAGCTCTTGAAACATTGAGGTTTTTTTTTGCAAATTCGATAAAAGGGCTATTATGTTGGTGCCAACCCCATGCTCTACCGTAACCGAACTCTACGAAAACTAAATAAGTTGAATCACTTCGTGTCTCGTGAAGTGTACTTTGTCTTTACGCTTGCTGTGACTTGTTTTAATGCTTTATTTTCCCCAGAACCAGTCCTTGTTCTTGTTCATTATCATGTCTGTGTTTTTTTTTATTGAAAGCGCTTTGAGATTGTTGGGTTAATTGTATATAAGTGTAAAATGTTATCCCCTTTGTATTTTGTTCCTATATTTAGAGCCAGGTGTGAGCTCATTGAGTCTATTTATGTCTGATTTTCAGTGTATCCTGAATTTAAATACATCACACATCGGTAACAAAAGAAAGTCGATGCGAAACAAAACACAATCACAATGTATACACAATTATTAAAATACCGGCATGACTTCCCAATTGTAGCGAAATATAACAACACCCATGTGAACGCAAACAGGTGAAATGGGATTAAATTTCAACAATGTAAAAATATATATATAATGCAGTCCTGTCATCAGCAATCCGCATGTGCCTACGGTGCAACAATGAGGTCAGTTGCTTCTTCACACGAGCCGATCTCCATTGCTGCATCTCCGTGGACGATGCCCCCCTGTGATGTGTTCCCCTCCTTTGCCTGCCTTTCAACAATTGTTCCTGCCCGCCGGTTATAATATGCCCAAAGTCAAAATGACTTCGATTTCACAAATTAACAACTCTTCTAACTCATCTTGCAATATTACTTCATTGTAAAAAAAACAACAACGTGGCACCCAATTTACCGACCGTGTGTTACAGCTGCGGCGGCCCCATCGGCTGAACACAACGACAGTTGGGGCTGAATTGGCATTGACATAAAGGGGAATTTAAATCGTGCAATGCAATTGATTCCTTATCCGCGAATTTACCCAACTTTACTTTATGGCCTACATCTCCCGCGTGGAGTTACCGGTAAGAGGATTTTTTTCCGATATGAATTACGACATTTTATATATGTGTGTTGAACTTCTTTTGCACCGTACGTAGACAACCACGCGAATCGGAGGTGTAATGAAAGTAGAGCTTTAAGATTTGTTTACATTGCAGCAGGGTCGCAGAGTAGTCAGAACGTATGAAATTATTTTAACAAAAAAACACATTCGTCATTCACACTGGCATTAAAAGCTAAAAAATATATACACTAGCCTTTTGCCCATCCAAGGACGGGTGTATTGTAGTAAAACTGAAACTTGCAAGCGAAAAGCACAACGCGTCGTGATATTCATTGCATCCATTCAATCCATTCGTTTGCAATTTGTAAGGCTGTGGTGACACAGACTTAATTCATTTTAAGGTTATAATCTCTTGTTCATCATGACGTCATTTTACTTCTATGTCGCAATAGTGTTACCGAGATCGTGTGACGTGAGGGTTCTGCCTTTGTAGTGAGGATTGTATGGACGGCTGAACGATTTGGAAAAAATATCTAATTGTGATTTTTCTGACAGATATTGCGATTTGATTTGCGATTAATTTTTTTTAAGTCAAGCTTTAGTTCAATATTCACTGTGTAATAGATTTAAAACATGTGATGGAGCATTACCACATGATACCATCAAAATATGAACTGCTCTATATATTCTAATGCAAGGATGAGAACTTAGAAGATATGAATTGCTTCCAACATGTATTTATTAAAATGTTTTAATGGAAATAGAACAATCAAACATGTAACAATTGTAAAGGTAAATTAACAAAGTTATAACTAAAAATAAAACAATTCCAATAAGAAAGTAATAGGACTTTTGAAATCGCAAAAAATCGCAGCCTTTGCGATTTGCTAATCGCATTGTATCAAATTGCGATTTCGATTTGAAATCGATTAATCGTTCAGCCCGAGTTGTAAGTTGATGCCGAGAAGAGGCGCCTCGGCCCCCCATGTGGAGTGACGTCACCGTTAATTATTATA